TTTAAAACTGTAACCTTTCCCCACCTCCCCCCAAATATATGCATACAATCGTTACTTTATTTTTTCCTTAAGGATTTACCATCATGCCATGTACTTTATTCATTCTGTGTTTTATGTCTCTCTTACGAAAACGTAAGCTCCACAAGCACAGGGATAGTCTGTTTGTTCACTATAGTGCCTGCAATAGTAGACATCTAACACATATTTGTTGAATAAATACTTTAATTCTTTCTTGGGGATCACATATATTTCCACTGAAAGAAAATCAAATTTGAATTTCAGGGAACCAACAGTATTTTTCTACAAAGTAGTATCTTCTCTCAAAAAAGGGGGCAGTTACACAAAATCCCAAATGGGATAATTACTCTTCAGACCTCCTTCTTTCTGCATGATCATGAGTGCTAAACACAGGGGACATATATTTACTCCATGTTAATGCTCATTTTCCTGAGTCTATTTTTCTAGTTTAGTCTGCCTAAATTCTGTGGTTTCTCATCATCTTCCCTGATTGTCCCTATTGCAATCCTAATACTCTTTGGCCAGCCCACCCTCTTTATTATTTACTCCAAATTTGAAAGAAGATAAACAAAGGAAAACATCATTAGCTGGCATGAGACAAGAGGTGATAGGAATCTTCCTTCCTCTAAAAAGCCAGTAGAGTTACACATAAGCCTCAACTCGGGAAAGGCCAGCAAAGGGAATATTGATAGTGAGGCTCAGATCATAAAGCATAATTCCTTAGCCTTCTCTTTCCTTCCGTGGGTTTTTCTGCTGACCTCAGGCTAGTTTCTCTCCAGCTTGCTGCAAGGAGATTCAGCACTGTTAGATTGGCGTTCTTCCCCACACCCATCCGTCACCCCATGTGTAATCAGGCAATCAGGCCCATGTGAATCCCTGGGTTAGCACCACCAGAGGCAGGGTTTCTAGAAACAGTCTTGACCACTATCCAACCTTTGCTCCTACTAACCCCTCCAGACCCAGTTTTCTTCCCACTCCTTGAGACTTGGAATATACCTGGGGTCTGCTGGGCGAGGCTTGGCTGTTGAGTGCCTGGAGGGACCCCTCAGGTCACCTTAGCTCTTCACCAAACCTGAAAGCAGGGCACTGGGGGAGATGGATGCCTGCTACCATATTACAGAATAACCTGATGTATCGGCTCCATCGCCATGTGGATGGCTCCCCGTCCTCAGTTCTAACCAGGCTGCTAGCTTTGCCATCTCAAAGTCTGAACCTACGAGGTTATCTGTCTGGGTCTCGGAGACTCAGTCCCCAACTTCACTCTGGCCAATTCCCTTTCCCCGAGTATGACACTTGTCATGATGTACCTAATCTATTTTCGGGGTCCATATCCCAAAATGATGGTCACCAATCACCTGGTTCCAGCGCATTTGGCCATGCCACCATTTCCTTGAGTAGATCCCCCTTGAGCTAACTGTTTTGAAAATTATAATGTGATTAATTATAGTTTACCAACACAAAGGAACAATGTTAGAGGGAATAATGTTAGAGAAGATAACAATGTTAGAGGAAAAAAACAGCATGATGCTGTACCCCTTAAATGTACACAGTACTACACGTCAATCATATCTCAATAAAACCGGAAAAAGACCAGCATTGGAAAATGTTCAGGATAAAATGTTAAGTTAATAAAGCAGGTTATAAAACAGATTTTCACTGGGCTTGAAAAACAACCAGGACTGAGATGGTTTCCCAGCATAGTGAGATCACCAAGTTATTCTCCACAAGGTCAGCGCTTAGCCAGGTCCCTTTCACCCCACTGACACATCCATGTCATCGCAGAGGGGTCTGTGTCTAGTTCCAACATGTTTCCAGCTCCTCACAAGCTCTGGAGTAGCAAGAACGCATACAACTTGTAGCCACATCACCATTCACCCCTTTACATTTCAGCCTGGTTTGGCTAAACTCACTCGCCTGTCTGCAAAGTGGGGTGGGAGGTGGAGAAGGGCAGCACAGGTGCGCAGGTGACAGATCATCAATGAACAAATTCAGGAGGAGAACCAGTATGGACCCTGCTGAGAACAAGGTGGGACACACAGGGGGTTCACAACAGCATTTGTTACCCATGCTTTACAAAGAGTCTCCGGCAATATAGGCTTTGTCCGACTAGTCCCATTATAGACACCTGAGCTGTGAAGGAAACCTTGAATGTGCTTATCAAGCCAGTCACCATGGCTACTACACTAGCACTGCTCTCTTCAGCCTTGTTTCAAAGGAAAGAAAAACAGGAATTCTGAAGGAAACAAACTTAATAATGGTAAGCATTTTTGTTCTCTCTGTTGGCCAAGCTATATAAATACACTCCGTTGTACAAAAACACTAGGTTCTTGATCCTTCTAAAATCTGAACTATTTGAGGATAAGGGCTGAGTCAACATGGTCTATGCTTTGCTTTATTTCAGTTCAGCTCAGCAAACTGCTAGATGCAGAACAGAATACTGATTTTCCAGCTCCTTTTATTCTCTGTTTTCAATTTTGCTTTGCTGTTGGGTTCTCTTTACTCCCAGGTTCATACTGTCTCCCCTGTTTCTGATTTAAAAATTGGGGTTGGATCAACTTACCTGATTATGTCCTGGCATTTGCCCAGTCCACCTGCCTACACGATGAGCTACCCGTTTTCGCTGATGTTGTAAGTTTCTGCCTATAAAAATGGCTACCCTTAAATGTCACGCCTGATTCCCTTGAGTACCTTATTCTCAAGGCACCTTGTACACCTCCTGTTTACCACAGATATGGCAGTTTGGGAAATATGTTTACTATGGAACCAGAAGTACACAGGCTACAGTGATGCTGTGGAGAAAATACAAGCAGCTACATACATGTTACAGAGATGTAGCATGCAGTGAACATCACATGTGCACAAATCTATAAAGACCAGAAAAAAATCACAGATTCCTTCCTTCACATGGTGTGAACACACAATTAGAGAAAGCTAATAGCCAGGATAGAGAAATAGATATTAACCACATGTATAAGAAAACCATGATTACAGACTTCAATTCCACTAATGTTGTCTAGAGAAATGACTTTGGGTATTCTGAAATGAAAAACAAAAATATGGGGATTGAGCCTAAGAAAATCTCCTTTCAGCTTGAGTGTTCTCAGGCTCATAGTTGAGACAAGTCTCTCTAAACAGTAAGTATATGCTGTGATTTTCAAGTTCTGCCCCTGCTCATTCTAGCTTAGACTCACCAATCTTTAGACTATGAAAAGGGATATGTGGTAGACAAGAAGTTAACACTGAAGGTGGAAGGTTATCAGTGTAATTACCAGTGTAGACTGTCTGGGGCCAAGACACCACAGAGGCATGCCAATCTCAAACGTCATGATCTACTACAATCTGTTCTTGAGAAAAATACTCTTATTTTCACACAGGGAATTGGTGTGAACTATATATCTATTTAACAAGCACACCAACGCCTTGTTGCACACAGTTCTTTTTAGATTAGCTATATTGCAAAAGCAGTTAGAAAATAACAAGACCAAAAAGGGCTAGCTTAACTCCAATGAGTCTGTACCAAAATCATACTCAAATGTGAAATATCTGTGTCAGTTCTGCTCTGGGACTCTAACTGCAGAAATTAGAAGAAAAAAACCCCCACGAAACTGCTCTGCTACTTTAAGATGCAGGGATATTGGTGAGCATTCACAATTTTCCCTCACTGAAAATCTCATTGAATATAATAGGGAAGTCATTGAATACTATGCCTTTCTATTATATCCAAGTGATTTTCACAGCAGGCAATCTGCTAGTACACCACAGGAGCCCACACTTTGAAATAAAATGGCGTTGTGGATACAGTTTTATGTGTGATCCCTTTTCAGTCCAGAGCACTGCCTCGTTTCCTTCTTCTTGGCTGAATTGAGTGGGCAATCCATAAAGAGTGAGTGAGAAGAGGAAAAGCACAAAATGCGTTTTTTGTTTTTTTTTTGCCTTTATCAATAATACAATTGTGTGCTGCTAATTACTGGCATGGTGACTGTATATTACACTTTGAAAATAAATCAATAAAATATTTTTGCATTGCTAAAGTGCTAGACAAGCCGTTTGCAGCAGGGGGCACAAATCAGTAAATCTAGGTGGATTCTGGCATGTTTTTCCTACACAGCTGGTGTGGAATAGTATGGTACAGGCATCAGAGAAATACTTCTTCCTATCCTTCTCTTTAAATAAACCTAATATAAAATCTATTTAGCAAGGACATTCTGCACAAGGCATCCTATGTCCTTAATTTTCTTTAAACAAGGCATTAATAAAATCACAGTAGCATCTAATAAAAAAATTTAATTCCTTAAGGATAGGAACCATGGCTAACCTGTAATGAATCTAATTTAGTGAAAGCATTTAGTTCTCCTCTTGGTAGGAATAACCAATAGAATATTCCTCACCCTACAGGATATATCTATATGGGTTGTTATTACTGAAAGCTCCAGAATGAAGTGGGACTCAGACTGGTTAATGTACCCGTATGTGCACAGACAACAAGACTGGTTTCCAGAGTTACTGACAGCAGAAACTGATAGCAAGGTGATCAAAGAATGATGGCAGATATTCGAAAACATGATGCTATTTTATTGCAGAATGAGTTCCCATTTGCGGTTATAAGTAGCATGAAAATGAGCCTACAGAACATGATGCCAAGATGCTGTATAGTAACATGTTCCCCAAAGCACCAGAGCTTTGACCTCACAGTCACTGCCAGTGAGACCTGTGCCAGACCTAGAGCCCCTGCAGAAGAGAATCCATTAAAAGATGACCTTCTCCTCTGCTTTGTGAGAACCCTCTGGCTAACCAATACAGCTTTTTTTTTTTTTTTTAGCTGAGCCATCCCGCCACCTGTTGGCAGCTCACGGCTGCTCAGCTCGGGCTGGACTTGAACCGCTGTTGCTCAGAGCTCAAACTCTTGAGCGAGCTCTTAACCAACTGAGCCACTCGGCCGGCCCTTAACCAACACAGCTTTACGGTAGAGTAGCAGTACTCACAAACTCCGGGGACTGGCGACCATGCTGACTCTCCAAGGCTCCAAAACTGGAGACCATCATCTGGTCAAGGTTTTCCGACACTAAAAATAAACAAGCAGAAATAAAGGAAGCATGAAGTTTCATCGGCTCACATACATTTTTTGCTTTCAAATCAGCAGCACTGGCTTCCCAACTATATTTAGCATTTGTGGCACACTTACAGGTTTACATGACTTAAGACTTTCAGCTATCGGGGACAGGCAAAACTTACAGCGGCTCTTTCACCTACTGTCAATGTCATGCTTGTAGGATATGAGGTCTGAACATGCTCTCGGCTAAACCCACCATGGAAAATCATTTTCCATCTACATGGAAGGACAGAGGAACTAAATGGTATAAACCTCTAGCTAAAGAACACTTTTCCCCCCACTACATCTCAGAGAATGGATGCGGAGTCATTCTGGGGTAGCCATTTTCTGTGTCTAAATCTGATAGGAATATACTGGGGGATAAAATGTTCTGGTAGCTACATTAAGAAAATGAAAAAGAAAACAGGTAAAATTCATTTTAGTAATATGATCTATTTAACCTGATAGACTCCGGTTATCATTTGAACATGTATTCCATGTAAAAAAAAAAATTGTTAGTGAAATATTTTACCAGTTTTGGGCACTAAGTCTTAGAAAACCAATGTTTATATGTTATACTGAGAACACATCTCAATTTGAACTAGCCACATTTCAAAAGCTCAACGGCCATGTGTGACTAGTGGTTACTGTACTGGACAGCACCGCACAGCACCAGAGGGATAAAGGAACCGAATCCAGAAGGGGAGCTGTTGTGCAAGACAGTAGTCTCATTTTGTCAACCAGCTCCTGATAGGAATAAAAGGAACTGTTCCAGATTTAAAGATAGAGAGAACAAAACCACCATGTGCAGTGTGTGGTTCTGGATTGGATCCTGGCTTCAACAAACCAGGTGTAAAAGACTTAAAAACAAGTCGGGAACATTTGAATATTGATTAAGTTTTGGATTATATTAAGAAACTACTAATATTGGTAAGTATAACAATGCAATTTTGGCTGTGTAGGAAATAAGTTTTTAAATAAATAAATATTCTTAAATATTTAAATATGTTTAAATAAAGATTATTAAACATTCAAATACATTTAAATCAATATTCTCATTTATCAACAGATCCAATCTCTTCAAGAAATCAATGGCATGGAAAAGGCAGACTGTTAGAAATTGAAAGAGCCCCAAGGAACATAACTCCAATGTGTGCTTTTTCCCGCACCTCCAAGTAACTCCATTCTGACACCATCTATCTGAAGACAGCATCAGATTCCACTGGTTAAGGGCTCAGTCCCACAGGCTGCCTCTACTTCCGATGCCAAAAGAAAGTCCAGATTGTCGCCTGTGCTTCTGGTAACTGGCTATAAATCAGAGGTTCCCATCACCCTCCTTGGGTTTTATCAATATTCCAGAATGGCTCATGAAATTCAGAGAAACATTTATTTACATTTACCAGTTTATTATAAAGGGTTGAAGGGGTTCAGAACAGGCCTCCCTACGATGTGCCATTTTGACATGAGGATTACTTTGAGTTAAAGGTAACTGAGACCCTTCAGGCTCAAGGGAAATTTTTACCTCTCATCAAAAAAAAATTAAGTCGAGGGCCTTACCCCTAATAAGAGTTATCACCAGAAATAAATTTTTATGACCTATCTATGTGACAGGACACACCTAATAACTGAATATCTGTTCTTCTTATCGTTCTATGAATGACCTTCCTCCCCTCGCAAGTCTTAGGCCCCTATCCCATTCCTTGCTCAGTACAGTGTAGTATTTTATATATATGTGTGTATGTGTATATATATATATATATATATATATATACATACACACATATACATACACATATATATCTCATTTTACCTCTTTGTTTTTGAACTTCTCATGTATGTGAGGTTCCTGTATACACAAAATTAAATTTGTTTTTCTCCTGTTAACCTGTTTCATGTCAAGTTGATTATTAGACCAGCCGAAAGAACTTCTGTAGGGTGGAAGAAAAATTATTTCTCCCCAACAGGGTGTTACAAAGGGTATTATAAGGAACACAGATGAAGAGCCAGATGAAGAGGTATGTAAGACGGTGCATGTGGGGAGAGGCGCAGCGTTTCCATGGCCTCTCCTAGTGTGCCTCTCTCCCCACATCTCCCCGTGCTCACCAACCTGAAGCCTTCCAAACCCTGTCCTCTTAGGGTTTTATGGAGGCTTCATCATTACATAGGCATGACTGATTGATGGTCACTGGCCATTGGCAACTGATTTAACCTCACCCCATCCTCCCCTCCAAGATCAGGGGGGTCAGACTGGAAGTTTCAACCCTCTAATCTTGGGGTAGGTTCTTCTGGCAACCAGCTCCCAACCTTTGGTTACCAAGGGGCTTTCCAAAAGTCACCTCATTAACGTAACAAAAGGCATCTTTATTCCTCTCATCCCTTTGGGAATTCCTAGCGTTTTAGGAGCTTTGCCAAGAACCATGGAAAACCAAATATATATATTTCTTAGTATAAATCACAACACCGAAGCAGACATTGGCAATATATGGCATTCAACCAGATCCTAACTTGGACAAACCAGCTATGAAGAACATATTTATCCAAATCAGGGCACTTGAATATGGAATAAGCATTACGTTATGTTAAGAAATAGCTTTTACTTTTATGAGGCATGATGTTATCTTAGCTTTGTAGTGACTTTTTTTTTTTAATGCATACTAATTTTAAAAAATCCATAAAGGCTTTTGTGAAAGAAAATCTGGGTTCCTGTGGATCCAGAAAAACTCCCTTTAGTGATGCAAAAGAAAGCTGGGCATCTATGGGGAGACTCACAAGAGATCTCTAAGTGATTGTTAAGAAAACCAAAATATCAGCCAACAACTCAGCGACCAAATACTTAGGTTTGGCACATCACTAAGAACCATCCCGTACCTGGATTAGACTTTAGGTTCACTCAGAGTCTTGTCCGCTAAACTCGTATCATTGTACACCTAGGAACTGAAAGGGAATGACAACACGAACAAGTGATGCTAACTCTTTCGAAAAACTGAGTTCCTGACAGGACCCCTATATGGGAACCAAAGCAGAAACAGGAAACAGATGAGAGGAGCCAAGGCTGCAGATCCGCAACCAAAGCAGAAGTTACGGCGCTTGCCTCTGAGAACTCCAGGAGCGAGTCTGTTACACCTAGAGAACTGTACTGTCATGAGCTGATTATTTCCAACATCACAACAACAGTTGTCCAAGATAATTACATTCTTGCAGACCACCTTTAAAACTTGCTAAAATATGTTTATGCTAATGGCTAGAAGGGTGTGTTTTGGTGTTTTGCATCTTGGTTTACATTAGAAAGAAAAGGCCTAACCTTTTTATAGCCTTTAGATATTGAAGAAATTTCACCTGTGGTATTTATGATACATTATTTTTTGGGCAAAACTAGCAAGTCAATGAAACAATACTGCAGATATATATCTATATCTATATAGATATATAGATATAGATATATATTTTTAAAGATTTTATTGGGGAATTGAAGGAGGGGAACAGCATTGGGGAATCGGGGAAGGGGAACAGGCAAGTTGCTGTCCTTTTGTTCTTCAGTCTAGTTGTGGAGGACGTTGCTTCACTGGCCCATGTTGGTATTATCATTGCGCTCTTCCCGGGTGAGGCAGATAGGTTGCCGGCCTCTGGATGGCCGCTCACAGCTGCTCTTGGCAGCTCACACCGGCTGCCAGCCACACACGGTAGCTTATGGCAGCCCACTGCAGCAGGGGCTGCAGCCTACGCTGTCGCCAGCGACTCACAGCAGCCCAGCTCCAGGTTGAGCTGTTGTTCACCATCTTAGTTGTAGAGGGCAGTGTAACTGGCCCCCATGTGGGATCTGAACCGGGTCCTGCTGCTCAGAGCTGGCGTCCCAAGCCAGCTCTTAACCAATGCACCACTCGGCCGGCCCTGCAGATATATTTTTTAAATGAGGACTGTAAATCTGATGGGGCGACTTGACTTTCGCATTTTACCTTGATTACATTATCATTAGATGCCCAATTTCACTATTATGTATCTGGGGTCAACAGATGGGACAGAGCTGATATTGTTGATTTTTTTTTTTAATGAAAGGACAGTCTTAAAAAAAAAGTGTGCATTTTACCTAAACACAGAGGAGAAAAAAGATGCATCACCCAGATGTTCTATCGAATTAAAGGCATCTATGCAGCTTGAGAAAGTTTGTGAAAGAAAATACGGAACTATTTATAATTTTCATTATTCTGCTGGTAATGCAAGCTAATAGACTCACTGGTTAACGCCAACACAAAGTTGAAACTGTAAATTTGAGTGAATAAAAACAGAAACGGCTTTATCGAATCATCATCTAGCTAGGACAAAGCTGTAGCCGCTGCTCTCATGACCTAATATAATATTGATTTATGATGCTAATATGGTAATTATACTTCCACTACTGAAAGGCTCCAGTTACTGTTGGATGTTTTCATTTCTGATCATCTAATATAACTGAAAAGGTTCATTTCTCAGCAAAAATAAAATAGTCAAAATCAAGGTGACACTTTGAGGGCTTTTTATTAAAATGGGGGCATAATCAAGAAAAAACACTCTAAAAAGGTAAAAATGTTAATTTTATTTCCTTCTTCCTATAAATCATGTTTTAAAATGTAATATTTTGAAATGTAACTTTACTACTGTCACAATGTATTCCTTTATACAACCAAGGTACCACGATGAGTTAGGTATCATGATTAGTTCATTTCACTTTGGCACTTGGAATATAAAAAAGTATTCGAGACCTCTATGTTATCTGTTCATCCAAAAGCTGATTAGAGAACTGAAAACTAATTATCCTATTATAATATGATGAAAAATCTTTGGTATTGACATCTCAATGGAATTTTGTATAGAAGCACAATGAAAGCTCAACTGAAAGTCAGGTTCAACAAACATTCATCGCCTAGTTTATATCAGAAACTGGCCAATTAAAAAAAGCCATTATCTATAATTTTACAACTTAAACAATCTATTATTCA